TCATCATACACCACTCATCATACACCACTCATCATACACCACTCATCCTACACCACTCATCATACACCACTCATCATTCGTGGCAGGCGCAATACAAAATGCGTTGCGGAGAGATAGCGAAGGCACGAAATGCTGTATTTTTCAATGGAACCGGTGGCTCCGAAGCTGGCAAGTCAAGGTCTGCGGAACGACGGTTGCGAGACGGTCTCGGGTCATGCTCGGATCATGCTCGGATCATTCTCGGAATCGTCCGTCCATTGGGATTAGAGTTTTTCACTTGTTTCTTGAAGTGAGGATGTCGTGGCAGGTGCAGCACTTTGTGAACCTCCATGTGCAGATTTCGTGGCAGGTGCAGCACTTTGTGTACCTCCATGTGCAGATTTCCTGGCAGGCACAGCACTTTGTGAACCTCCATGTGCAGATTTCGTGGCAGGTGCAGCACTCTGTGTACCTCCATGTGCAGATTTCCTGGCAGGCGCAATACAAAATGCGTTGCGGAGAGATAGCGAACGCACGAAATGCTGTATTTTTCAATGGAACCGGTGGCTCCGAAGCTGGCAAGTCAAGGTCTGCGGAACGACGGTTGCGAGACGGTCTCGGGTCATGCTCGGATCATTCTCGGAATCGTCCGTCCATTGGGATTAGAGTTTTCATTTGTTTCTTGAAGTGAAGATTTCGTGGCAGGTGCAGCACTTTGTGAACCTCCGTGTGCAGATTTCGTGGCAGGTGCAGCACTTTGTGTACCTCCATGTGCAGATTTCCTGGCAGGCACAGCACTTTGTGAACCTCCATGTGCAGATTTCGTGGCAGGCGCAGCACTTTGTGTACCTCCATGTGCAGATTTCCTGGCAGGTGCAGCACTTTGTGAACCTCCATGTGCAGATGTCGTGGTAGGTGCAGCACTTTGTGAACCTCCATGTGCAGATTTCGTGGCAGGCACAGCACTTTGTGCACCTCCATGTGCAGATGTCGTGGCAGGCGCAATACAAAATGCGTAGTGGTCAATGGAACCGGTGGCTCCGAAGCTGGCAAGTCAAGGTCTGCGGAACAACGACGGTTGCGAGACGGTCTCGGGCCATGCTCGGACCATGCTCGGATCATTCTCGGAATCGTCCGTCCATTGGGATTAGAGTTTTCACTTGTTTCTTGAAGTGAAGATTTCGTGGCAGGTGCAGCACTTTGTGAACCTCCATGTGCAGATTTCGTGGCAGGTGCAGCACTTTGTGTACCTCCATGTGCAGATTTCCTGGCAGGCACAGCACTTTGGGAACCTCCATGTGCAGATTTCGTGGCAGGCGCAGCACTTTGTGTACCTCCATGTGCAGATTTCGTAGCAGGCACAGCACTTTGTGCACCTCCATGTGCAGATTTCGTGGCAGGTGCAGCACTTTGTGAACCTCCACGTGCAGATTTCGTGGCAGGTACAGCACGTGAACCTCCATGTGCAGATTTCGTGGCAGCCGCAGCACTTTGTGAACCTCCATGTGCAGATTTCGTGGCAGACACAGCACTTTGTGCACCTCCATGTGTAGATTTCTTCGCAGGCACAGCACTTTGTGAACCTCCATGCGCAGATTTCGTGGCAGGCACAGCATCCGGGGAGCTGGAAGCTGAGAACTGGCGACTTTGTAGTACAACTTTAGTACGCGGAGTATGTGGCGAGCTGGACGATGAGAACTGGCGACTTTGTAGTACAACTTTAGTACGCGGAGTATCTGGCGAGCTGGACGATGAGAACTGGCGACTTTGTAGTACAACTTTAGTACGCGGAGTATCTGTGGAGCTGGAAGCTGAGAACTGGCGACTTTCTAGTACAACTTTAGTACGCGGAGCTATCTGCGCAGCTAGAAGCTGAGAACTGGCGACTTTGTAGTACAACTTTAGTACGCGGAGTATCTGTGGAGCTGGAAGCTGAGAACTGGCGAGTTTCTATTACAACTCTAGTACGCGGAGCAATCTGTAGAGCTGGAAGCTGAGAACTGGCGACATTGTAGTACAACTTTAGTACGCGGAGTATCTGGCAAGCTGGACGATGAGAACTGGCGACTTTGTAGTACAACTTTAGTACGCGGAGTATCTGTGGAGCTGGAAGCTGAGAACTGGCGACTTCGTAGTACAACTTTAGTACGCGGAGCAATCTGTAGAGCTGGAAGCTGAGAACGGGCGACTGTGTAGTACAACTTTAGTACGCGGGCGGAGCAATCTGTAGAGCTGGAAGCTGAGAACTGGCGACTTTCTAGTACAACTTTAGTACGCGGAGCAATCTGTAGAGCTGGAAGCTGAGAACTGGCGACTTTCAAGTACAACTTTACGCGGAGCATCTGGGGAGCTGGAAGATGAGAACTGACTGGCGACTTTCTAGTGCAACTTTAGCACGCGGAACAACCTGTGGAGCTGGAAGCTGAGAACTGGCCACTTTGTAGTACAAGTGTAGTACGCGGAGGAGTCATCTCTCGCTGCTGAGTCAGCTCTCGCTGCTGTGAGTCATCTCTCGCGACTGAGTCATCTCTCGCTGCTCAATTATCTCTCGCTGCTGAGTCAGCTCTCGCTATAGCCATCTCTCGCTGCTGAGTCATCTCTCGCGGCGTGCAGGTTTGGCACAGTTCATACTGATAGTATTTGGTTGCATTTACGCAGGACAGGACACTCAACTGCTGGTCAATACACCACTCATCATACACCACTCAGCATACACCACTCATCATACACCACTCGTCATGCACCACTCATCATACACCACTCGTCATACACCCCTCTTGTCGTGGCAAAGATACAACCCAGTACGCTGTTGTGAGCTGCTGATCCTGCAGGGGGCACACACCTTACACACGTGGAATCCCGTGGGTCAAAAGTCCGGAGCGCGTGCGTTTGACTGGAGGACGCGCATGTTGGAGAGAACGTGGACACTCCTATAGGTCAATTTGTTCTTATAGGAAACTTCCGCCGCCGGCTTGCCCGGGAACTACTTGTAGCGCTCTCATTGTTCCTGCTAGTGGCTATGATTTGGTAGCGCTCTCATTGTTCCTGCTAGTGGCTAGTGTCAGACTCTTGGTAGAAGTGGCCGAATCATGCAACTCATGCGTCGATCAATTGAGCATGAACTGGCTTAGGTCCTTGCACGTCTTGGTTGGAGTTGGTTCTCGCACTACTGCTGAGGCACATCCAGTCCATTTTGTCACTTGGGCTTGCTTTCTGGTTCGTTGGCTCTCTGGACATCCCGATTAAGGTTGGTTGGCTGGATGCTGCTGCTTTTCTCGAAGCAGCGGGCCGCTGTGGAGCAAATCTGGCCGGCCCTTTCGCAGGCGTTTCTTTTGTGGGTAGCTGAGTCTCCCTGTCCGGTGCTTAAGTGCCCAAGGTCGGACGCGCAGCCGCCGTTTGACGCCACCGTTCATTGCAGGACGCTTTGGGTGCGGGCTCATGTGGAGTTTAATTGGCCCCCTAAGTCAAGTAGTCTCCCCATAAACTGGCTAGTGATTGGTGATTAGTAGATCTAGGCAGTAACACCACTTTTGGACACAGGCAATGTTGCCAGACCCTTGCCAACCTAGCTTGGAACCAGGAGGCGGCGTTCAGATCTTGAGCGGAGAGATATTTTTTGTGAGCACTTCCTCCATCCGCTGCCACAAGGCCTTACAGCAGAATGTATCAGAATGTAGTGTCAACACCGCTGAGCAGTGTGAGCAGTGCCCCTTTGAGGTGTCCAACGGCCGGACCTCAACTATTGCTTTGTCAACCGAGGCTTTAAAGCTTCGTGGGAATCAATAGTGACACGTTGGGGTACAATGGCGTGACGGGCACACCACTGTCACTTCGAACATCGTTTTGACATTGAAGCCATAAGCAATAATTAACTGGCGGTGCTTTGATACTTAAACTTCGTCAATTGCTGGTTATTTGATTTGCATCTATTTCTTCTCCATGCCCTTCGGCGCCCTTTTTCCAGGCAGACTGGAAGCCAATGGGGGTTCTCGATGTGGGAGCCTCAGCGCCGAAGTGCCTTCCCGCAGTGCATGGCAAATGCACAGTTCTCCTGTGGTGAGGGAGGCCGACAAATCTGCTTTTGCACTGTTTGCTCCTTTGATCCACTTGACCCCAGGAGCTTCATGCTGGCGGTGTGAGCTATTTGCTGCTTTCCGTTTGCGAGGTGGCCTCAAGTTGTGCTGATGAAAATTCACAACAACTGGAGAGGGAAGCGTAGTTGAAAGGCCGAAGGCTACAAAACAAAAGACTTTCAGGAACCTGATTGCGATGGCCTCCAACCTAATTGCGAGGACCTCCAACCATTCGCCCTCTGCCTCCCGCCGCCTTCTGCCCGCCTCCCGCCCTCTCACACACGAACTGAGGGGTGTCCTTACTTGGGTTATATTTACTGAATCATGACAAGGACTCATTGAAAGTCACGACAAGATATAGTTTCGCACTGCACGCCCGCACGCACGCACGCGCGCACGCCCCCACGCACGCGCGCCCACGCCCGCACGCCCACGCACGCGCGCGCGCGCGCGCGCACGCACGCACGCCCGCACCCC